CTTTCTTAGCCCACCAAAGGCCATTGGAAACACTCTGATTTACTCCCCACGTGGAGCCAGCAGCCTGCACGTTTCCAGTCCTCTTCCCTCATTGATTTGCAGGCGACTTTCAGAGCTGCCAAGTCTCATTCCTCTGCCAGGACTGAAATCTATTTCTTCCATATTCATTTTCTACCTGTTTTTTAGGGTCTCATCCACATGGGCAGAGGGGTGAGACCAGGACTTTGAGACATGGCTTCAGGTTCCTGAAGAACCCTCATGTTCAGCTCATTGTCCCTTAGCAGACCTGTTGTTCCCCCCACATGAGTTGTTTAATGACCTAAAAAGGGGGGCCTCTGAGATGGTGAAATCCCATCTTCTTCAGGGGAAGCTTCATCTCATCAGTAAAGGAAAAACATGGTGTTCACCATATGTTATCATGGCTAGGTCAGTGTGTACCACCAGACCACAGAGCATCTCTGCCATGCCCATCATCCAGCTAAGTCCCTCTCCCATCCCTGCAGCTCATGGCTGGTTTCCTGGTAGCCTTTTTTCTCCTAGAAGAAGGAATTCAGGAGAAGAGATGCTGAAAGAACATCCCAGCATGGATGCCCTGCTCTGCAAGCACGGCAGGACATCCATGGGATGTCTGCATGTTAAAGGATATTTTTCCTTCGGGAATGGGGGGGGACAAAAAGGATAGGGGTGGGTCTCCATGTGGTGTTGAGCATCCATCACAGAGATGCTGGGATGCATCTGTGTGCTCTGAGACATTGGGTGGAAACTTTTGCATCCCCTTTGCTATATTAGTAACTGGAGCATTAGCTGGCTGGCCATGAAAAGAGCTGTGAATTGCAGCCACCTGATTATCCTGCCTTGCTTTGGGAATGGGATTATATCCTTTAATCTGGGATCATTTCACATGGATGCAGACCCTGGGGAGGAGCGAGGTGGTTGTGGGTGCCATGCCCTGCATGAAGCCCCTTCCTGGAGCCTAACTTGGATGCAGGACAGGACAGAACCCCTTGGCAGCATCAGGAGAGTGATGGAGACCAAACTTCCCATCAGGCTGGAGGCTGGTCAGAAGGGGAAGGTGTGCTTAGTAGCAGCCTTCCTTCCATCAAAGCCTTTTATAGCTAGGTGGTGGAGTTTGGAAAGCTGCAAGTGAGACGTGTTCCCCTGCATCCCTTCACTTTGGGGCTTGGGCTTCTTCTGTCCATGATGTGGGGCATCTCCAGCTGCCTCCCACCCTCACACCTTGGGGAGCAAAGCAGTTCTTTAAACCCTCATTGATCAGGAGCAGTGGGCAAGGAGAGGATTTGGGGACAAGGACCAGACCCATCTCCTCTCACCCTCTATCTGATGGGATTTGTCCTCCATCTGATTTGAGGAGCGGCAGTGTGCGCTCACAGCCCAGAAAGCCAAGCGTATCCTGGGCTGCATCAAAGGGAGGGTAACCAGCAGGTCGAAAGAGGTGATCCTGCCCCTCTGCTCTGCTCTTGTGAGACCCCACTTGCAGCACTGGGTGCAGTTCTGGTGTCCTCAGCATAAGAAGGACATGGAGCTGTTGGAGCAAGGCCAGAGGAGGCCATGAGGATGCTCAGGGGCTGGGGCAGTTCAGCCTGGAGAAGAGAAGCTGCGTGGAGACCTCATAGCAGCCTTCCAGTATCTGAAGGGGGCCTATAGGGATGCTGGGAAGGGACTCTTCATTAGGGACTGGAGTGATAGAACAAGAGGTGATGGGTTCAAACTGAAACAGGGGAAGTTTAGATTGGATATAAGGAGGAAGTTCTTTACTGTGAGGGTGGTGAGGCACTGGAATGGGTTGCCCAGGGAGGCTGTGAATGCTCCATCCCTGTCAGTGTTCAAGGCCGGGTTGGACAGAGCCTTAGCTGCCATGGTCTAGTGTGAGGTGTCCCTGCCCATGGCAGGGGGGTTGGAACTGGGTGAACTTAAGCTCTTTTCCAACCCATTCTATGATTCTTTGCTTCCCCACCTTTAAACCCCCCTGTATCCACATGTGAATGAAACAAACCTTATTTTCACTCCCCCGTGGGGTGCAGCTGAAGCCGCTCGGCTCGGCAGCGTCTGGGGGAAGGCCAGGCTTTATTGAAACCCATAATGGTGCCACCTGAAGCGTGATTTACTGCACTGTCCACTCCTCGGCCTTGATAATATATTTCTATTAGATTTCCTTCCTTTCCCTCCTTCCTCCTCACAAAGAGAGGCAACTTTCTCCATCTGCCTGACACCTTCTTAGGCTTAGGCAAAATAAATGTTGATTTTCATCAAGAGGAAGAGCGCTGGAAGTCCTCATTCCCCGCCTGAGCTTGACAAGCTCAGCAAAAGCCGCCCGCTTTTCGAGGGAGAGAACTGGTGATCCAGCCCCGGTTCTTCTCTTTGGAAGCAGTTCAATCATCGTAATGAAAAAGGGGTTTCTTAGCTTGGCTTTCACTAACTAGAAATGATATACCTGGTTCCTGGAAGATGGATTGTGCGGCGGCTGAAATGCAGACGAGGAGGAGAGGGGGGAGAGAGTGAAGGCGCGCGAGATGCGACCCAAGATTGATCACGCCATTTGCAGGATCTCCCATGCACAAACAGCAGAAAACATCTTTTCCTTTGCTGGGGTGGGTTTAGTGACACCCCTTTATTCTCCACGTCCCCCCTTTGGCTTTCAGAAGGGGGTGTTTCATCGTGGGGTGCTCGCCCATCCCTGTTTGCTCACCATGGGGTGGAGCATCCACTGCTTCATCCTTTCCCGGAGCAGCATCTCCCTCCATCCAAAGTGAGAAACCAGTTTAGTCCTTTTGCATCCTATTTGGGGGTTTATTTTATTATCACCCTCCTTAATTTTGTAAGGAATAAGTTTGAAATCAGGCTGGGATGCTCTGAAAGCATCTCAGCTCCATTCAACCTCATACTGAAGTCGGGAAGTTAATTACAGTTGATTTAAAAATCACCTTTTCTTGTCTTCCTCCCCCCAAAAAAGAGAAATCAATATTTCTCCTTCTGTAATCATATTTGCTTTGAGTTGCAAAGCCTGGCTTTCATGGATATTAGCTAATGAAGTGTTTTCCAGTTCATCCAGCATAGAATTGAGCCGTTTCCACTGTTCCCGTTGGACCAGGGCTGTGGTTTTTTGGGGCAGGAATGAGGAGATGCTCATTTTGACCCTTTGGGGTTGAGGGGTTGGACCCTAATGACACCAACCAGAGTGGAATTTGGATATCGCAGGCTGGATAAACCATGTGGCTGGATGCAAAGGGATACTGGGGAGCAGCTGGAACGTTAGGAAGGTGGTCAAAGGCCAAGAGGGGTGCGTTGGGCATCTGCTTGGTGTTGCTGTTCCTTAAAGCTGAATTTGGCTGCATTGCTCGTGACTAATGGCCAAGTCCGTGGTGGCTGCTGTGCACCACTCTGATGTATGGGTGTTATATTAAGGGTGGAAAGGTGCTAAATGAGCCCTCTTTATTCTACATAAATTAGCTCAGAAGCTATGTATCACTGCCACGGAGGCTTAGACTCAGAGGCAAGTTTGTTTAAAAGCAGAGAAGAACTCCTGGTGACTCCCTGTTGTTGGATGATGCTTGGGGTCCTCTCCTCTCCATCCTTTTCTGCCCCAAAACCTTCTCCTTTGGGTTTTCAAGGATGCTCGAAGGTGCCCATGGTCCCACCTTTGTGCTGGGCATCGTCTGGGAGGTGCAGTGTGGAGCACCAATGTGTTTGCAGAGTCATGCAATGGTTTGGGTTGGAAGGGACCTTAAAGCTCCTCCAGCTCCAACCCCTACCACGGGCAGGGACCCCTTCCACTAGAGCAGGGTGCTCCAAGCCCCTGTGTCCAACCTGGCCTTGAGCACTGCCAGGGATGGGGCAGCCACAGCTTCCTTGGGCAAAGTGTGGACAAGTTGTGTGCTGCTCATCCAGAGCACGTGCATCTGGAGGGGGTTTGGGCTGCATTCCTCATCCCTCAACAAGCTCTGGATCCTGTATTCTGGGAAACCTCCGTTTCCCATCCACATTCATCTTGGTGTGTTCTTGATCCAGTGTCCACACACTCCGTTACCAACCCATCGGTTTGGTTGGTAGAACCCCATAACTGCTGCTGCTCTACACCCTTCAGGGAGGGAAAGGTATGTCTGGTGTTGAGGTTGAAATGGAGGAGGACTTCACACCATCCACCCTCATCCATGGGATGTGCCTGGACCCATCCTGCAGACAGATCACATCCCAAAGGTGCTTCATGGGGTTTTGGCTTCATACAAGCAGTTGGGCCCCTCTTTGGGGGAGGCACAGCTCCAGCAAGCAGAATCTTGGGGGGATTCTGAGGGCAGCTGAGAGCTGTGGTCCCCAAACCTTTCTCCAGCATGGCCGTAGCACCAAGCATGAGTTTACCTCTTGCATACTGGTGTTCAGGTATTACCTGCTCCACCCCAGCCCCAAAGCAGGTCGGGATGTTCATCTTGGGCTGCAATTTGAAGCTTTGCCTACCTTTTATTTCACCCATAACTTGGGGGTTCTGCAGTAGCTCTGCAATGGGAAGGGCCCTCTGAGTGTCTCCATCCCCTCCACATGTAGGAGGCTGAGGATGCTCAGGGATCTGAGGAACCAGCCACCTCCATCCCAGCCATGGCCAAGGGGAACATCAGCTCTGGGCTCACACGAAGACATGTCCCCATCCCAAAGGGGTCAACTCTGCACTGGGATGCTGGGGAAGGGGCTGCAGGGCAGCAAGGCCAGGCTGAGCACCCACGGGGGACACACGTGTCCCCACCAGCAGTGGGCAGGGTGGCTATGGGACAGGATGCTATTAGGGTTTCTTCACTTGCTCAATAGCTAATCCTTCCGGTTGGCCCTCTGGGATCCTTTTACTCCCTTTTCCCACTGTTAAAGCATGAAGTGCTGAGGCTACAGGGGCGGAGGAGCTCGCGATGCTCCTGCACCTGCATCCCAAAGGATTTCCAAAGCAACCCAAGAAAGCTTTAATGACTTTCTCCTCTTTTCTTCCTTTCTGCTCCCAGTCAGCACCAGAAGGAAGAGGACTTTGCAGCCAGTATCCCTGGGGGACTCTGAAAACACCTGCCCAAAGGAGGGTGGCAGAGGTAAGGCTGGTGAGTGCAACGGGGTTGGGTGCTGCTGGTGGAGTGGAGGAGCACCTGTATGCCCGGTGCTTTATATCCAACCTAAATCTCCCCTATTTCAGCTTGAACCCATCAACCCTTGTCCTATCGCTCTCCAGCATCCTTGTAGGCCCCCTTTAGGCACTGGAGCTGCTCTCAGGTCTCCCCTTCCCGCAGCAGAGGGGCAGGATCCCCTCTACGATCCTCTATGATCCTATTCTGTGATCCCCTCCCTGAGCTGCTGCCCAGCACACGAGGGGGTTCTGGGCTCAAGCGCTCACTGAAGCCAGGTCATGGGGAGCTTCTCCTCATCCAACACCCCCAAGTTCTTCCATCAGGGCTGCTCCATCCACTCTGCCCAGCCTGTGTTGGTACTGGGGATTGCCCCAACCCATGTGCAGGACCTTGCCCTTGGCCTCTTGAACTCCATGAGGTTCACACATTCCCACTTCACAAGTGTGTCCAGGGCCCTCTGGATCCCATCCCTTCCCTCCAGCGTGGTGATCACACCACACAGCTTGGTGTCATTGACAGACTTGCTGAGGGTGCATCAGTCCCACTGTCCATGTTGACAAAGACATCGAACAGGATCCTGTCGGAACAAGTCCAGAGGAGGCCACGAGGATGCTCAGGGGCTGGAGCACCTCCTGTATGGAGCCAGGCTGAGAACACTGGGGCTGTTCAGCCTGCAGAAGAGAAGCTGTGTGGAGACCTCAGAGCAGCTTCCAGTGTCTGAAGGGGGCTGCAAGGATGCTGGAGAGGGACTCTTCATCAGGGACTGCAGTGATAGGACAAGGGGTTATGGGTTCAGACTGAAACAGGGGGAGTTCAGGTTGGAGATAAGGAAGAAGTTCTTTAAGGGTGGTGAGGCACTGGAATGGGTTGCCCAGGGAGGTTGTGAATGCTCCATCCCTGGCAGTGTTCAAGGCCAGGTTGGGCAGAGCCTTGGGTGCCATGGTTTAGTGTGAGGTGTCCCTGCCCATGGCAGGGGGGTTGGAACTGGATGATCTTAAGGTTCTTTCCAACCCAAACTATTCTATGATTCTGTGATTGATCCCAACACCAACACCTGAGGGGCACCACTCGTTACTGGTCTCCAGGTGGACATGGAGCCATTGACCACAACTCTTTGAGTACAACCATCCAGCTAATTCCATGTCCACTGCGTGGTCCCTCCGTCATACCCAGGTCTCTCCAGTTTAGAGACGAGGATGTCACGACGAGCACTTCACACAAGCCCCTGTAGACAGCACCAGTTGCTCTGTCCCTACCTTCCTCCTCTCCTCCCCAGGCAAACGGCTGCAGATCAAGCCCAGGCTGTGAACAGGAACCCAACCCAACAGCATCCAACCAGCTCAGGAACCGCAGAGCCGGGCACGACCCGGCCCCTACCTCAGGACGCCGCGGCCACACGCGGCACCTTCTTCTCTTCTTGCTCTTTGGGGACGTTGTCATGGCAGGGAATGGGGTGGCAGCACTGGGGCAGCATCACCCCCCCCCTGCAGCTTCATTGGGAGTGTTTAAGTTGCCAATAAATGATCCAGTTTAGTGAAGGTGAAACCTGCTCTGGGCTCTTTGGATGCTCACAGGGTTGGGAAGAGGCCCCCATCCCCATCAGTGCTCCTGCAGATCACAGCTCTGCTGCTGTACAGGACATGAGGTGATTGTGCCATCATGCAGTGTGCCCCTGTCCAGGTCAGCCACTCCGCTGGCAACAAGCATGTCCGGTGGTCCCAAGTCATCACCGCACTGGGATGTAACAGGGCACAAAGCCCTCACAGAACTCCAGTCTCTCCATGCCACCTGCGTCCATCCTGCTCCATCCCTTTGCTGTTGGGAGGGGATTTCTTGGAGCAGAGCCATGTGCCGAGAGCATCCCAAGTGGAAATGTGTTGGGAGCAGCACTGAGCTCACATCAAAGGCTCCTGCAGCGTGTCAGGGTCCCCATGGCTGGTTGTACCCTGATCCCACCTCTCCCCATCCCAGAAGGGGTTTGGTTTCCCTTGGGAGACCCAACCCAGTGTTCTGGGTCCCTCCAAATCCAAGCAGGAGCAGAACATGGGAAGAGCATTGTGCAGAGCCATGTGCTGGCCATGCAGCTGCTGGTACAATGGGGTTTGCATCCATGGGTACAATCTCCACCTGGATTTTTGGGCAGTGGATGCTGTTCCCACATGGTTCTAGGCCCAACAGCAGGATTACGAGGTGCTGAGAGCCATGTGCAGTGGCAGGATTTGCCCATCCCCTGCCCCTCCATCACATCACCTGCAGGGAAAGGCATCAACAAGGACATAGGTGAGCACTGGGGACCCAGCACCCAGCTAGGCTTGGTGATGGGGTGGGTGATGGAGCCACCACGATGCCTTGGGCTCAGCTGCACCATGGATACAGCAATGGGCTGATGGCTGCAGTTTCACCCCTGGGGACCCCCATGGTGTGTGTGGGGGGTATCTTTTGGGCTCCTGGTGAGGGATTTATCTCCTGTCTCGAGTAACTTGGGACATTGGGATGCCACCAAAGGCACCACGTGGCTCCTGTGTAAGGATGCTGAACTGGCAATGCAGTTTAGTGCCACTCTGGACACCAGTTTGTGGTAGCCTCATCCCCATCATCCCCCCCAGCTATTGTGAGGACCAGCAGCTCCTACCCCAGCCTGTGTACCACGAGCTGTTTTCTAGTGACACCTTTGTTGTTCCCATTGTTATTCCATGTCTTTTATTGACCCTTGTGTTTTGATATGTAAATAAAGGGGTTGTTCTCCAGGATGCCTGGTCCGAGCGTGGCTTTTTTATTGGGCAGTACATGAACATCCCATCATGGAGAAGCTGCTCTGTTCCCCAAATCTTTGGGGTTCTTTATTAGAAGCTTGCCCCCCTTTACCCATTAATTATGTTTCTTCATAGTGGTTTCCTACCAAAAACCAACCTAAATTCACTACACATCACCACAGAGGAGATGATGCTGCTGCATCCCCAGGGATGACCAATGCAGGGTGGTGGTGACCAAGAGCTTTGGTGCCGCGGCTTCCTAATGAGCAGTCGAATGAGGATTAAGCACTCATTAACAAAGGTGATGAGTAGCTCCCCAAGAGCCCTGACACTGCTTTCCACTGGCTCCACTGCTCCCTTCCCATGCAGGGTTGTCATTTATGGCCAACTCTGGTCCAAATCACTGTTTAGGGGCAATGGATTCCTGAGCAGGGATAAAAGCAGTGGTGGTGAGCCCTGATGCCTCGGTGACAGGCCCCAATGGGGTTTATCCACCTTCCCCGTGATGCTGTGGTGATGGTCTGTGCCAGCACCATGGTGTGGATGTGCCCTGGGGGTTCCTTAGCTGGAGAGGTGGCATCAGCCTCTTGGTATGGTTTTTCCCTTTCCCCAAATGATGGCATCAAGCAACCTGCTCTAGTGTGAGCTGTCCCTGCCCATAGCAGGGGGTTGGAACAGGATGAGCATTAAGGTCCTTTCCAACCCAAACCATTCCATGATTCAATGAGTTTTGACCCTTCTCCCTTCCCATCAGCACCCAGACCCCTGCTGCAGATGCTGATGGAGCATCACCAAGATGGTCCCACCAGCGCCGTGCGCTCGAGAGCTCCCCAAGCCCATCACCAACCCATGGGGAAACCGAGGCAGTGCCCATGCCCTGCTCCAGGGGTTAACGGGGCAGAGGAGCCGCCTGCTCTAAAAGCAAGCGGTGACGGCATCCCGCCACCATCCCATGGCCACCAACCTGGTTATGTCACTCGGCTGCCCGCGTTTCAACCCCGCCGGCCGGCGCGGCGCGGCCGGGAGGGACCGGGACGTGTCACTGTACCCAGCACCCGCTATAAATACCCAAAGGGGGTGTCTTGGGCCCGTGACGGCTCCGTTGGAGCCCTTCCCATTCCCTAAATCCCAGCCTGGCTCCGGGCCCATCGCTGGTGGCAGCTGCTGATGGGGGCCGGGTGCCCCCGAGGCATGAGCGGCTCTGGGGAGGGAGGGAGGAGAATCCCAGAGCTGCATCCCGATACCCCGCTGTGCCCGGATGGGGATGCTGCGCTGGGGGGTCACACAATGAACAGGGGTTAAAAACATCCCATGAAAAGGGTTTTTTTCTGTTGCAAAAGTATCAAAATGCCCTTTTTTTTTGTCCCATTCTCTGTGCCCTCCATCAACTGTGCCCAAGTTTGGGGTCTTCACTGTGGGATAACTGTGTTCCAGGTTATCCGTTATGGGATAAATTCCAGCATTAGGAGGGTCCCAGGGGACCCGCATCCATGTCCCTCCTAAGGAGGACAAATATCACCCCTGGCTTCATTTTACCTTTATAGGAGGAGAAGGATGGAGAAGGGGACAACAACACCCCCGACCCAGAGGCTGGATCGAGTAGAAGGGATGGTGTGGAGTTGTAATTGCTGGGGATGCAGCAGGAGACGGGGTTTCACCCCCCAAATCACCCTGTTTTGTATTCATTTGCCCCAAATCATCCCATTTAGCCCAGTGTTCCCCATTCCCAAAGTCCCAAGTGGGGAGGGCCATGAGCCGGGTAAGGGGACCATGTCCCCCCATCCCACAGTGGGCAGGATGCAGCCAGGCTGGGATGTTGTGGTACCCTAACGACATCCTATAGGAGATGGAGACAAGGAAGGGGGGTGATGGTGGGTATTGACAGTCCCTATGGGATGAATCCCTTGGGATTAGGGGGGGACAACTCAATGGCAACTGCTCCGTGCCTCAGTTTCCCTCCAGCACCTTCCTATAGGCCTGTGCCCACAGCCAGGACCAGGCCCCTGTGTGCTCCATCCCTGTCCATAGTGTGCATCCCATAACCCCCCCAGCACTGCCCTTGATCCCATCAGGGTTAATCCCGACTCTTTCCCTGGCACATCCTGGTCCCTCCTGGTGCTGCAGCTGCAGCAGCCACGAGGTGGCAGGGCTCGGAGCAGCAGCCAGGCCAGGGCCGCATCCTGCGCTGGGATGAGCACCCAGAGCCCCTCACTTGATACCAGTGATGCCTTTGCCGTGGGATGGGGCAGCGGGGCTGGTGATGCTCCTCACCGTGTGCAAGGCACAAACATCACCTCCTGTGGCACGAAGCTGGAGCCAGACCTGGATTATGGGAACATCAAATAATATCCCCAAATAGATAGATAGATGGATTTTGGAAGGAGGGAAAACCTTCCCTGTATCCCAGGGAGGATGCTGGGCTGCTCCGGACTGGGAACACCGAGGTGAGGAGGGAAAGGGCTTCATCCCAATGTTGTTTGTGTCTGGTACCCACAGGAGCATGGGAGACCGTGGTTCCCTCAGTGAGGTGGTGCGGAACCTGGTTTGGGATCAGTAATCTCCATTCTAGGTCTTTCCCGTTTCTTTGGAAGGAAATTACAGTTTCTTTTCTGTTTGTGCTCACTTCTTGCTTGGGCCCGGGGTGGTTGGGGGGAGCTGGAATGGGGGGGATGAAGGTACACGGTGAGGGCGGGGAATGGAGGGAGGATAGACAGGGGATGCAGAGAAGGGGAGCAGAGGGGCTGCAGGGGGTTGCATTGGGGTGCAGGGGGTTACAAAGGGATGCAGAAAGGTGGAGGGGGGATGGAGGGAGGATGCAGGGGGGAGCAAGGAGATGCAGTGGGGGGGGTGCATGGGAGATGCGAGGGGATAAAAGGGGAATGTGGGGAGGATGCCTTGGGGATGAAGGCGCATGCAGGGAGGGGGGCACAGGGGGTTGCAGGGGGTTATATGGGGGTGCAAGGATAAGCAAGGGGATGCAGGGGGGTGAATGAAGGGTGCAAAGTGATGCAAGGGGATGCAGGGGGGTGAACGAAGGTTATAAAGTGATGCAAGGGGATGCAGGGGGGATGCTGAAGATACAGGTAAGGAGCAAGGTGGCGCGGGGGGGTGCAAGAGGTTACATTGGGATGCAGGTGGGGGTGAAAGGGGATGAGGGGTGGGTTGTACCTGAAGGATGCATGGGGGTGCAAGGGAATGCAGGAGTACGTGGTGGGATGCATGGGGAAGGAATGGTGGGGGGATGCAGGGGGCATTCAGAGGGGGTGCAGAGAGGGGATGCACTGGGGATGAAGTGGGGTGCAGTGAGGTACAGGGGGATGCAGGAGGGATGTGGGTCGGGGGCACAACGGGATGCAGGGGGATGCAGAGAGGGATGCAGGGGTTGATGTGATGGGATACAGGAGGATGCCGGGGGGGATGCCCGGGGCACGGGGTCCCCTCCTCCGGAGCCGCCACGGGCAGCGCCGACCCGGTCCCCTCAGTGATTGACAGCAGCCCCGAGGCGTTACCATGGGGAGATGCAAATCGAGACGGGGCATCCGCCGCGCTGATAGGCCAGAAACCGCAGTCCCCGCCCCGGGAGGCGGGGCCGGGCCGCGCTCCCTCCTATATAAGGCATCGGGCTCCATTCAACCTCCCGGCAGCGCCGAGTACGGGCTTGGAGCGGGCAGGGGACGGGCAGGGGGGCAGCCCCCGCCCCTGGTGCCCGTGTCCGGGGTGGGAGGAGGAAGAGGAGGGCAGGAGAAGGCTCCTGTCCCGGGGAGGTGGGGCCGGGGCAGGTGCCAGGGGAGGCAGGAAGGGGCGGGCAGGGCGCTGCCTGCTCCTCGCCATTGGGACCCGGCCGCAGGCAGCGGCGGAGCCGTGCTGGAGAGAGCCCGGTCCCGCACCCACGGGGCTCCGCTTCCCGGCTGCCGTGGTGGGGGGAAGCCAGGAGCTGAGCCCCGGAGCCCGGCTGCGGAGCGGTGCGGAGCCCCGACGGAGGGTCCCGGAGCCCGGCTGAAGCCCCGAGCCAAGCCCCTTCGGAGGGTGCCGGAGCGCGGCTGAAGCCCCCAGTAAAGCCCCGACGGAAGGAGCCGGAGCCCGGTTGAAGCCCCCCAGCAAAGCCCCCTTCGGACGCTCGCGGAGCCCCGTTGGGGCAACCGGTTACACCGCGGCGGAGAGCCCCGGAGCGCGGTGGGAGGAAGCGCCCCGAGTGCTCGGTGAGCGGCGGTGCCCGGGGGATCTCCCCCCCGGTCCCTCCATGGACTGAGATGGCCTCGGAGCTGGCCATGAGCGCGGAGCTGCCCACCAGCCCCCTCGCCATCGAATACGTGAACGATTTCGACCTGATGAAGTTCGAGGTGAAGAAGGAGCCGGCGGAGGCGGAGCGGTTGTGCCACCGGCTGCCTGCCGGGTCCCTGTCGTCCACCCCGCTCAGCACCCCCTGCTCCTCCGTGCCTTCCTCGCCCAGCTTCTGCGCTCCCAGCCCCGGTGGGCAACCAGCCCCTGGCCCCCCGACCACCACCGCCGCTTCCCTGGGCTCCAAGCAGCAGCTGGAGGAGCTGTACTGGATGTCGGGTTACCAGCATCACCTCAACCCCGAAGCTCTCAACCTGACGCCGGAGGACGCGGTGGAGGCGCTGATCGGTGCCCCTCACCATCATCATCATCACCACCAAGGC